ACACAGTCACTGTGTGTTGCCCCTCCCAGTGATGAAATATCCCTCATCACCTTAAAGATCGAAGTGACAAAGAACATGTCACTTCGCGCCCTAGTTGACTGTGGGGCGTCGAACAACTTTGTTCGACGCCGGTCTCTAGATGATCGTAGGCTCAAAAATGTTAAGCGCGAGCCCCTACAGCGAGGATGACGGTGCGCCTTGCAACTGGCGCATCCGTAAAAGTAAAGAAACGTGTAGTGGTAATTCACTACACGCTTGAAGGTAATAAAAGTAAGATGATGATTTCATCGTACTCGATCTAGATGACAAATTTATTGTCATCCTAGAATTACCATGGCTCAAACAATACAAGCCAGGGGTAAGCTGGCACATCTTGTTGCTATACCTGAATCGATCACAGCAAAGGGCTGTGCTCGAGTGTTTAATCGCTATAAATTTTCGATTGCACGGGTTACCCCGTGAACTTGTGTCCGAAAGGGACCCCCGGTTCACGGCTAAGTTTTGGCTTTCCGTGTTTCGAACACTTGCAACACGGATAACGATGTCTACTTTTAACCATATAGAAACCGATGGTCAGACTGAACGCGCCAATCGCGTCCCCAAAGATATATATTGAGGGCACGTCCACACGTTCACGAGTTGGAGTGAGTTTAATCGGTGGTCGAATTCTCCATCAACAATTCAGTGCATGCATTCACGACGCATACACCGTCTACTTGAATGTTCTTCGACATTCATGTGTCCCCCCACCTTAGTAGAGGGTGACTCTAATTTAAGGGGGGACTCGCTCGAGCGAGAACCGATCTGGCTCTTGCTCACCACGCGGCGACGTTATTGCCGACGCGAAAGTAACTTAAGTCGTACCACTCGTCTTTGGTGAAGAAGAAGAATTTAGGAGCGCTGGCGCTCTTATTAATGATGATGCTGACGACGTCAGCATCGTTCGAGGTATCACAAGCGAGAACACTAACGTTCTCGCTGAGTTAGTAACCGATGTCTCTGCAGTGCATTCACATGCACCGCATCCAAAAGAACGAGTCAGCAGATAATATCCTGCTGACTCGAGAAGCGGTAGTCCGTTTCGTACAAGAATATATCGTAGATGCGGTGGACAAGCAGAAATGAAACGCAGACAGCAATAATTTTTTTGCTTAAGTACAACGGCCCATTTCGTGTATTGCTCCTCCCAGGCAACGCATAAACGATAGAGCTGCCACGCAGGATGCTTACGCATTCTACGTTTTACGTGATACGTATTAGCCCATACGTTTAGTACGCGGCTCCTTCGAACGACAAATATAGACACCAATCTCAAGAATCATCTTCAGATTCTTGTTTTCACGAACCAGGTTCGATACCTGGTTGTTTAGAGACGAAGTCGTCCCATGATACTGGACGATCTCCCGACGAACTGTCGCCAGCTTTATACTTACAGAATAACCCCTCCTTTCATTCTCCAACAGTGCGAAAGCATTCTTTGTTCAAGGCTTATCATGCTTAAACCCAAGCTGTCGCACAATGTCCTCCAGGCGGTAACGCTTATCCCGCTCGTGATCAATACCACGACTTAGCCCACGAATTACATGGTCAAACCCGTTAAACTCAGCATACACATCCGATGGAAGAATTGGAAAGGGTTTTTTCACCACCACCGCATCCTCTGGTGGACTCGCACTGTGAGAAGTGCTTCCTTGTGGAGCGCTTGCTGTATTATCGTGACGTGAAGGGACGTCGGACGAGTTATCTCGTCCGATGGCGCGGCTATCCACCTTCGCCGGATAGCTGGAAACCTCGAGCCCAACTGATGGCTGACGCTCTGGCCTTGTCGAGCAGTACAAAAAGGCACATCCGATGGTGAAGAGGGACCATCAAAAACGAGAGCCCAACGCCTCGTAGAGGGATTGCAAAGTAGCAATTCCGTATCGCATCTCAGAAGAGATGCGAGCTCTCCACTAGGGATCACTAAGAAGGTACGCCTCTGTAGGCGCTCTTGATGAGGTTCTCACGCAGTCCGAGCAAGAGTCGCCCCAAGAGATGCATGGTAGTCCAGCCTCTCTTGACAGCCAATGCAAGCGATAGCATGCACCGGACATACTTCTTTTTCAAACCAATTGTGATTAGCAGTAAGTTGTGAAACCAAGCATCACGCCCAACATTATGAACGTTGAGAATAGAGTGTTCCAAGTTTGGAGAAACGCATCAGCTTAACGCTTATGGTGCGGGGGCTATACCATCGATCCCTAAAGGAATGCATCGATGTAAAATTATTTTTAGTGCGAAAGCTATTCGCACTGGCGTCACAGACGTGAAGTTTTTGACGCATTGCAAAATGGAATCGGAAACCGTTAGCTGGTCATTCCGAGCCAACGATCTATTAGATGCTTGGATAGCATCCATGGTTTGCGATCAGGAAAAAGACGCAATACATGGTGATCGAGAAAATTCTGCGTGGTTTTAACAGAAGTACTGACATGGCGTCAACAGAAGTATCGACACCACGTACAGTGATGTCAGTAGAATTACAGACATCACTAATAACACCTCCAGTCGAGTCAGATTTACTCGACTCGATTGGTGAGTCGTCTGATTCATCAGACGACCCGAACATTTCACGGTACATTGTTTCGCTCAATGTATCACGGCCCTTTTATAGAGACCGAAGATTAAACAGCACCCCGGGGCGATCCCGGAAGTGAAACAGATGGCTTTGAGCCGTATGCATCATCCGACTCACCAGATAGTCAACAACCAGTTTGGGTCATCATCTTCACGTGGCGAAGTGCCACGTGAACCTGCCACAGACGCTGCAGGCTTATGTTGACTTGCAGCAGACATATTAGTGTCTGCTGGCTGAGGCTGTGAAGCCTCAACAGTGGATGCACACAGGCATGCAGCCGAGTTCTTGGCTGGGGGCTTGGCAGCGACGTGCATTGACTTGATAGTTGCGTTGCAGTTGTTGGAATAAATGGAAAAATACCAACAAGTGCATCCCTTTCCCCATATGTCACTATTCATTAGTTACTAACAATGTGACTGATGGGGTGATGTAACGAGGTGAGCCCGTTACATATTATTTGCACTAATAATAAGTGCTAGTAAAAACATTATTATCTTCTATATAATAAAAGAATTGTGTCCGTCCGTCTGTCCGTCCGTCCGTCCGTCCGTCCGTAGTGCTCCTTTTCCGGCATTCGGATTGGCTAATTTTGCATTATTGGCTAATTTGCATTGGCTGATATTGTATTTTGCATAGATAGTATTATGAGCTGATTTTTCAAATATATAGTAAAATTACCTACGTCCATACTACTTGCGTAGAACTTGCGCACCTATCGGTCGGAACGACTGGCAGATCTAAATTTCGGTTTGACAAATTTTGTAAAATTATTGCGAGCAGGTCTTCGTTACAGATTTCAGCTTCGAAAGGCGGCAAAAAGCTGTTAAGAACCTACATTCAGACCCTTTAATATAATTAAATCTTTTATATTAGACAAGGCGTATGCTTTTTATACGTTTTAAAATACGGGCTTAGTGCTATAATAATACACTAAAAATAGCAATAGCAAGTATTGTCATCAGATTGGATTGAAATCAATTACAATAAGCAAAGTTACCCATATGTATTGTATCATACATATTAGAGTCAACCAGATTATTCAAAGTAAAGAGATAGGAGGTACGAATATCAAATAGCGGACTTCACCCACCGTTGCTAAAGAAACGACGGGTGAACGAACACCCTACCAAATCGCTGCGATTTTTTAAATGCCTATACATATTACTTCGCACCGTTGCAACGATGGGTACACACCCTAATTTGCTGCAGATATCCTTTTACTAGCACTAAAAAAGCACACAGATCTCCGTTCAAGATCTTAGCATCAAAAAGCGGTTTAACTTACATTCATTTCTTATATATACTTGAATCTACATTTATGGTTTGCTCGCACCTTTCCGTCGGAACGACGGGCTCACCAACCAGCACACATTTACCTTTGAAACGACAGGTACCCCATTGACCTTCATACACACTGTTTCTACTTATCAGTTTACCTAAGGTAACTAGATTTTCTCAAGCAAAATGATAATCCAATATATTATCGCCGTAGACTTTGCGCACCATACCCGTCGGAACGACGTTTAAACACCCTATTAATTCGCTGCGTTTTCTAAAGATTCCTACAGTATATATATTACTGTTCGCACCGTCGGAACGACGGGTGAGCACCCTAGTAACTAATAATATTTGACAATAACAATCCGCTAAAGGCTATATCCACGGCCACAGACAAAATACAGACATTGACCCAGCCAATCACAGCTTAAAAAAATTAATTACAACTATGCACTCCGTTAATTATATTATATTTAAAAAATTTTATAAATATGCTATTAAATTATTCCAATATTTTTATATTTTTAATAAATAATAGAGTCTTTACGTTGTTCAGTGAAAAAGAGGATTTAAATTTATAAAAAAAAGAGGATTTAAACTTATAAAAAAAGAAGATTTAAATAGACAATCACATTACTTATTTCTTTTTCAATCGTCTCCTTATCGTCCTTGAAGTACGCAGATGTTTAGGGACAATTGCCATGTGAGCAACTACACTGTTTAAAACTAAAGTATTGTAGACCATCACAGTGCCGGTAAGCACATGAATGGGTATATCTCCTGCCATCTAGCTGAACTCTGCTGCAAAAGAATAGAGTGCACCCAAAAATGAGCAGGATGTCGCGTGCCATCTGCAACGATCGGGTTTGCGCTTGCCTACTACAAATTATTTTGCACCCATGCCTTGCAATCGCACTTTTTACTGCTCACGTATATGCTGTGAAACCGTGATGTGGTTAAAACTTGTTCCCTTTAACTGTGTAGAAGTATCTTTCTACCCTCTTTGCAAAGGTATCAACACCGTAATGTCCAGGTTAAAATGCTCAACAACTGCTTAAACATTCTACGACAGCATCGTCGATCAGCAAAATCTAGCCATGTTGAATTACCATGAGTGGAACGCAATGAGGCGAGACCCAAGAGCTGAGAAATGGTGTGCGGAATAGTCCTCACTGACACAAACATCGACATCATCTTTTTGCCAGTGATCAGTGGGAAGCAAGCGCTTCTTGTATCGACGTAACTGTTCCTGCACATAAGTGCGGTTCATGGGCGTATCCGGGATGAAACCGGTGTAGATAACCTCGCGTGGGATGGTGCCGACGTGTTTGTAGCTGTTGGCATGCGGAATACGCCAGTCAAAGAAGATTACACTACCAGCTTCGCAGCCAATGTGCTGGTAGCGGTCGATCACCGCGCAATCCTCTTGCATACGTAGCGGCGAAAATTCACCGAGGCAGACCTGAGGGCGGCGTAAGGGTGCTGTCATAGCTGCCTCAGCCACTGTATATGACTGGCGTTCAGCCGCGTATGCAGCAAACTCTTTGTGAAAGCCTGGTACAGCTTCAAACCCACCCGTGTTGGGCTCTGTGTTGCTGGTGAGCACCGTGATGCATTGAATAGGTCGCCACCGAGGTGTGCTCTTGTCGAATCTGAACATCTTAGTCGGACAGCAATCCCAGTGTGGGGTCAATGATCGTTGCATTGGGCGGGACTTTTTAGCTGCAAACTTCTTTGAAATAGTGTCTGGTACGCGGTAGCACACACGGTTAATGTACATGTATCCTCGTTTTCCATCAAAGTTTCCAAATGGATGTTGAAAGTCTGAGTGATTGTGCGCGTATGTTGCTTGCCACAAGTCCGTCATTGCTGCAAAGATATTCTCATGCTCCGCGACTTTCAGTCTCCACGATGGATAGAACAGATCAAGGATGCCACCAGCACCACCAGTACTCGACAGTTTCTTGAGGTTATCACCTGTCTCTATCAAGTTGTCATGGTCCTACAATATTCATTAAACCATAATTGCATACTAGTATTAGACCCTTATGACAACCATAACAAACCCATAATGATATTCATATAAACCAACAACACGTACCACTCCATACTTGGCCAGCTCACGATGTAGTCCTTGACGCGATTCTGCCAATTCATTTGGTGTCAAGACATTGGGAACGACCAGTACACCTTGATCCATAAATTGCTGAATCTGTTGATCTGTTAGAAAGCGCTTGATCACTATTGGAGTGGCATCGTCACCAGATATTCCAAACGTCATGAATAAAATCGTTATTATTATTTGTTTCGATACTATTGACCTCTCTGATCTCAAGGATGGGGATTAGTGCCTTACTGAAGCCAAGTCAAACTGTTCCGCGTGTTTCGACTCCCCCCAAAAAACGAGCAAATTATGCTGCGAAATGTGCTCATCATGGCGTCTAGTGGAATCGTACTCTTCTCCAAAGAATACGCCAATGCTGTCGCCCAGGTACCTATTTTTGCCATCATCTTGACTTTCTATCTGTGTACTTTGCACTCACGAACTCACTTGATTCATTGAGTTCTTACTATATATTACCCCTTCTACCAGCCTCGATTAGTTGGCTCTTTGATTACTGCGATGCTTGAGTTTTCGACTAAAACAAGTGGCGCGCCAGTATCGTACATCCAAATGTCTTTCGGTGTGTTAATTTACTCCATTTTGCAATGGTATACAGCTAAAGACTGGTGATAGATGATGCTAAACATGGCTCTTGTTGATGTTGTGCCGCATGTCTCTCTGCTACTAGTGGCGGTAACGGTAGTGACCAATGACAAGCATAAGGTTTTCTGCGCCATGTTTCATGATACGACGGACGGTGCGAGTTTTTCAGCTTTTGTGGCGCAAGAATTGCTGGCAGCGTTTATTGCGCAACACGGAGACGAACTGGGCAATATTGGACACAACTTGAGGGATTTTCACCGCTTCCAGTACCGAATACTCAGCGTCATACGCGAGTCGGTAAAACCTATTGTCAGAAAATGTGCGTGGAATGAGATGGTTTAGTGACTGCGTGAACGAGTTAAGAGTGGTGACTAAAACTCTGTGGCAACCTGTGTGATGCACGACTAGTGCAAAACCAACGGGGTATTTTGAAAGCAATGCTTGTGGTCGATGGTGCCGTAACATGTGCCACAGGAGACGTAGATCCAATTGGCGTGTTGGCGAACCTCCAGGCACTCGTGAACAGCTCGATCGATACTAGTACGTTAATGGTAGAAGAATTTTGGGTGTGCTGTCGTAAAAACTTACGCCTTTTCAGTGTCATTTTCAGGCGATGGTGTACATTCCATGACTATTCAAAGCGGACGTAATTCGTGCATACAAGTGAGTGTTGTAGAAGGTAACGATGCGTTGGTTGTAGTCTACAAGAAGGGCGCACAAGCCACCAAGAACACGGCGGCAATAGGAGAGTGCGTTCGAGCACTACGGCATGGTATGTCAAGCACTGTTTTATTGATATGCTGATGTTAATAGCATAGACGGACTAACTCTTATTGATTGGGGCTTTTGAATTTTGTATATAGTTTGTGTATTAGTGCGCACATTGCAACAAAACTCACGGTGATGGAGACTAGATCCAGTTCCGCATCTCATTTTAATAGTACCGGTATTAGCATTTTCTTTACAGATAGTACTATTTCCTACCTAAGCCACGTAGGCTCTTAGATAGTTTTTAAAAGTATCATTTTTACAATTTTGTGTGCGTGTCCGTCGATCTTTTTGTTTTGTTCCTCGCAGCAAAAAGAATATGACAATCTGATAGCCCTTTTGTCGCCAGCGATCATCACTCGGATTGAGCTCTTCACGGTTTTATCATCCTGGTCCACAGGGGGACTCTGACTTAAACTCATTGCATAACGAGCAATAAAAGCACCACCAATGAGGACACGCAGACTCTTTACTCTAGGCAAACTCGCTACACGCAAGCAGGCTCGGGAACGCTCGACCCGAACTTGATGATCGACATCCCTCTGCTACTTGCCATTGTCAAAAACCCAAAATAAAGATAAACACGCAAGGCGCAATAATGTGTCCAAATAATGTCGGGGCGTTAACTTAAGTCATCAGCCAATCCGATTTCGTCTCCGTCTCGTCTCTTATAATTCCCCATGTATTTTTATCAGATGCTAGCGAGTATTAACTCATACAGTCTATCTATATACTAAAACCAGCAGCAGGACATTTATACGTACTGGGTATTAATTAGTACAATATATTCAGACAAAATTCCTCGGTAGTGTACAACCAGCTTCTCACCTTCTTGTCGACACTTGACACTAATATGAAGCGCTACTTCATTGCTCGACGAGTGACTTCATTGCGTTCATCAATTCTATGGCAAACAACGTGTCAGAACTCGACACTAGCGACGTCGATTCCGTCTAGTCAACACATACTACACGCCATTTACAAACAGCACGCGGATAATGGCGACGTGACGTACGACCCGATTCAAGTATGTGCGATACATCATTTGGACGCTTTATACGACCAAGTATTACAATATGGAGGTCCAAGGACCAAATTGACCAATGAGAAGAAAGGATCATGGTGGCAGAAATTAATTGGGAACGAGAATTGTAAGACTGAACGAGTGATTGCACCGAAAGGACTTTATCTATATGGTGGTGTCGGTTGTGGGAAAACGTACGTGATGGACATGTTTTTTGATCTGGTGCCAGTGGAAAAGAAACTTCGTGTCCATTTTCATGAATTTATGTTGGATATTCACAAAAAAATGCACACATTACGACGTGAAGGTCTTCATGGAGATCCAATTCCACATATTGCTGATCAATTGTTAAAGAAAAGTTGGTTACTTTGTTTTGATGAATTTCAAGTGACAGACGTGGCTGATGCATTGATTTTAAGGAGACTTTTTTCAGCATTACTAAACAGAGGATTTGTGATGGTTGCAACGTCGAATCGACCACCTCGTGATTTGTACAAGAACGGATTACAGCGAGAGTTGTTTGTACCGTTTATTGACATGCTTACACAACGGTGTAATGTCGTGTCACTGGAAGAATCAACTACGGACTATCGAGTGCTGAAGAGTGCTACGCAAGCTGCTAATGTATACGAGTGTACGATCACGGAGGACACGCGTGCGGCATTTGACGATGAATTTATGGCCTACTGCGGTGGGGAAGAGACGGTGACGCATTATGTTATGATGCAAGGACGTAAAGTACACATTCCAGAGGCTGCAGTGAAAGCTGGCGTGTGTCGTTTTTCGTTCAGTGATCTGTGCGATCAACCGCTAGGAGCAGCAGATTACTTGGCGATTGCTGATTTCTTCTCGGTTGTGTTTGTGAGCGACATTCCGTTGCTTCATGCTGAGCGACTCAATCAGGTGCGGCGATTTATCACATTCGTCGACTGTATGTACGACCGAGGTGTGCGGGTACGTTGCTGTTTGCTTAATTGCTGTCGATGTATCATGCTGACATTTTTGGTGTTATTGTGGCTAGTTACATTGCCTTGCACCGGAAAGCCCCGAACATCTCTACCAAGTTGACGCTGGCATGAAGGCGCACGTTGACGAGGTTTTTGCGTTTGATCGCACGGTTTCTCGCTTGCTCGAGGTACACTATCTTTGTTAGTTTGCCTGCTTAAATTTGACATGATGCTGATACTATTGCGTGCTGCAGATGGGAAGTGAAACGTATTTGCTGGCACATAGCGATCGGCAGAACGAGCTGCGCGTTGAACCTCGTGAGGACTTATTCCTAGCTCCTGACACCGTCGGAAGTGTTAACGAGCATGAGGACAGCGCAGAAGAGGATGAGAATTTTGAAGAAGCTGCCAGTGCGGGAAAGTAAGTACACTAGACAAGTACTGCTTTGTTACAAGCATGCGATTGAAGAAGACAATTGATGCTGTACACTTCATGATCTGATTTTGGAATGAAAGAGTTTTTCTTTGAGTTACGCACAGCTTCGTTACTCTTTGATCTGACTCGAATTTGACGACATGGTCGCCCCAGCCCAAGAAACTGTCGGCTTTGCATTCAGTGGCATCTTCGTCCATGCTTCGATGTTTGATGACCATGACAAATTCTCGACAGCTTTCTTAATAACTCTTCGCTGCGAAGTGGGCAGGTCTTTAGATATTTCTTGAGCCTTTTTCAGGTCAAGTAGAGATTCCATAGGTGACTAAATCGTCGCCGTAGCTGACGTCGCATGATATAATGGCCGAGCTGCCATGTTGAAGCATACTAGCTAATGTGATCGACCGTGGCTTGATTTCTTTTCTTTCGCAGTCGTGCTTTACGAAATGCTCCTTTTGAACTCCCTTCTTTCTAAAGCTCTTCGAATGGTTGCTAATGGGTTTTCAGGACATGAACTGCTAAATAATTGGAGTGCATTCAGTCATCCTTTTTGTTCCTCACAGCTATCTCAACATACATGTACAACTTCTTCGCTCTTAGTCCATCACTTCTATGTCGAGGTTCCTCGATGCCTAAATGGAGCCGCTAAGCGCAATCTGGATAGTCAGGAACACCATGAAAGCGAACGTAGTGGCTGACACTGTCGTGGGAATTGACTTGGTGTCCTCAAGCGATTCGGGCAGTAATTCTCGTACCGCCACGTAAGCCATCGCGCCACCAGCAAAACCCAGACCACATGGCAAAATAGGCAGCCAGTGCTCCACGAACAGGAAGGCCGGCACCGCGAAGATTGGCTGTGGTACACTGGACATGATGCACCACAGCACAGCGTAAAAGACGCTCAGTCCACGTGGTACGAGCGACAGGCTAATTGCTACACCTTCAGGTATATTGTGGATTGCCATAGTCATCGTGACAATGTGGCCACGACGAATACCACCTTCACCACCGAATGAAACACCTACACCAATACCTTCCGACACCGAATGTAGGGTCATGACAGCCATGATCAGCAGCGCTTTACGGGCATCCAGACCTTTTAGCCCACACACCGTCACGTTCTCATAATCTTCCAAGAAAACTTTGGTGAATTTAATGAACAATACGCCTAAAAAGGCACCTAAAAAGAGACGATAGGTCACCGAGACTCCATAATTTGTTGCATGTGAAACGTATAATCCTTCATGGAATAAACAACCCGTTGCAGCAATCATCATACCCGCTGCTAGACCATTGCAAATACCAAGCCAGAATTTGTCGATATTTTGAATCCAATAGAATGGTAAAGCTCCAAGGCCCGTAGCAACAGCTGTGAGCCACCCACACCACCACACATAGCGAGCATTTTTGCCACCACGACCGTGAAAATGATGATGCATTGGAAAACTATAGAATGTAATAAAGATCATGGTCAATGCTAAAGCATAGGCAAACCTTCTGGTAGTCGAAGAAGACCCTATTGGAGGCTCTGATATGTCTTCTTTAACATTATTTTCTGGTAGCTGTTGATTTAATAATGCCATGTCGGATGAGACGAGCTCCTTTGTGTCAATGTTTATCGAGAGTTCATGCATTTCAAGAGGTTCGACGTTAGTGATGAGTAAATTCGTCGGCGGCATGTGAACGAGCGTCACAGATTAGTGCTGACTACCTGAAGGAAAAAAAGAGTATGACGTATTTTGTAAATATGTAAAATACTAAGACGACGTGGACGACATCTAATAATGAACCCTTTTTTAAACATTTTGTAGAGGTAAAACACACGGAAAGTTCGGACCGAAAAGTCTGCACCAATTTGGTCAGACTGCAAGTGACATGAACCGCCCCCTAATTGGTTGATAAGCTACATCCATTTCCACCAATCGTCACCTCTAGATTTCGTCTTGCCGCCAATTTTGCATTACCAGCACACCAAAGGATGTCGACGATGACCAGCACTGATATGGGCGAACTCAAGCGCCCCTCCACGCGCGTGCATGCCCCTCCTGGTGGTGGCTCTACTTGGAGCTTTGGTGACGAACGCCCTACGCCGACTACTACAACAGGCCGCAAGCGTTTTAACCAGTTACCGACACAAATTCAACAAGATACCAAGATGGAATCCCCTCGTGCAGCTCCTGTTCCCATCCCTACAACAGTTGAAACGGCTACGAAAGCTCCGGAAGGAACCGTTCGTGTGGCACTTATCAAGACACGAAGTGACGCTGTGCTAGTGGACCGAGTGATGCAAAATTGCTTTGAGAAGTTGGAGAGTCAATCCGTGAGCTCTGAGACGTTCACAGTGGCTTCTCTAGAGCAATTGCCATATGCTGCCAACAAATTGACTGAGTTTGGAGGCTTTGATGGCGTCATTTGCTGTGGATTTCTTAACACACAAGACCCACAGTTTGCAGCCTTGAGTGCAGCGTTAACGCAAAGCTTTATTGACATCAGTGTGAAGAATGTGCGTCCTGTGGTACGTGCAGTGTTTGTCGGAGAGCCTCGTGTCGCATCCGTACGGGTAAAAGGGGGATGGGGTGGTGAACTTGCTGATGGGATGGTGTCATCAATCCATTTGGGCGGGTTTAAGGGATCCAAGTAAGTAGCTACAAAGTAGCTAGAAAGGATTTTAATCAATCAAATAACACCTTTTACCCAATCAAAGTGTATCCATTTTGATATCTTTTTCCACCAATCCAAATACAGTAGTTCGAATAGACGACCTTCATTCTTATCTACTCGTAAAGCATGTCGACCCTTACTAGCACTGATATGGGTGAACTCAAGCGCCCTACTACACGTGTACACGCCCCTCCTGGTGGTGGCTCTACCTGGAGCTTTAGTGATGGTTCAACACCCATTACAACAGGTCAAAAGCTCGTCAAGAAGCCTCAAACTTCAAGTCAACAAGAAGTTTCGTCCATCGAGACCCAGAATCAGATGGAAACAGCTGATTCTGAGTCTGTTACTTCAGTGCGTGTCGCACTACTTAAGACCAGCAGTGACGCAGTGATTGTAGATAAAGCCGTAGAAAACTGCTTGAACAAACTTGAGACTCACACTCTGAGCTCTGAGACATTTACAGTAGCCACACTGGAACAATTGCCGTATGCGGCCAATAAACTAACAGAGCTTGGAAACTTTGATGGTGTTATCTGTTTTGGGTTCCTCAATACGCAGGACCCGCAGTTTACAGCGCTCAATGCTGCTCTGACACAAAGTTTCATCAAAATCAGCATCAAGAACGTACGTTCAGTAGTCCAAGCGGTGTTTATTGGAGAACCTCGTGAAGCTTCGGTGAGGGTGAAAGGAGGATGGGGAGCAGAATTTGCACAAGACATTGGGCCATTAATCAAGTTGGGCGGCTTCATCGGACCAATTGCACACTCAGCTTCTGGTACACGAGTGAAGAAGCAATTTGAAGTTAGTCGTGGCAATGTGCTACCTGCAACGCTGTTGCGTGGATCGAAGACTGTACTGCAATCACTGGAAATCTTGAGGAACTCACTGTATGAACATGGAGCAAAGGGCATCCGTGGATTGGGACGCAAGTTCCGTATTATTGACGATGATGGCAACCGCTCAGTGAATCTAGACGAGTTCAGTAAGGCTGTTCGTGAACACACGCTTGAACTTAGTGAGAAAGAAGTGGAGGAGCTGTTTCACTTTATTGATGCGAACAACTCGGGCGGCGTCGATTTTGACGAGTTCCTACTGGCTGTGCGCGGTGAGCTGAACGAGCGCCGCACGCAGTTGGTTCTTGTAGCTTTCACGATCTTAGATGCTGATGGGAGCGGTGTTGTGGACCTTAACGACATCAAGGGCAAGTACAGCGCGAAGGAGCACCCTGGCGTGCTGCAAGGTCGCAAGACGGAGGATGAGGTGCTACTCGAATTTTTGAATACTTTTGATGGTGGCGAGAAGGACGGCAAGGTCCATCCTAGCGAGTTCATGCGCTACTACGCCAACGTGAGCGCGTCCATTGATGACGACGACTACTTTGAGCTGATGATCCGCAACGCCTGGCACATTAGTGGTGGTGAAGGATGGTCGGCCAATACTACCTGTCGCCGTGTACTTGTGAAGCATGCTGACGGTTCGCATACGATCGAAGAGGTGAAGGATGATATTGGCATTGCCGCTGGCAATGTTGAGGCCATCCGTGCCAATCTCCAAGCACAGGACATTAACGATATTCAGTCTGTAAGCACTGCAAGCAATGTCCAGGTTGAAAGTGATGCGATTAACAAACGCTCAAACGAAAGCTTCCATCCCCAGATCGCACGAAAGAAGCAGCACGGGGCCGGCGCAAGTTCCATCATTTTCGGCTAAGACAAATCAGCAGCTTTTAGCACGAAAATTGCAGCTACGTGAAAAAGTCTTTGAATGCTTACGAGTATTAATAGAAAACAAGAAAAAAATGTGTTTTGACATTGACACTTGTCCATTTTGGTGTTACTACTTACTACGCTGGCAAGGTTCAACCTCGATAATCGACAACTCTTCTACATATAGATCTAGTGGATTTGTGTGCCTCAACTTGTTGTACTTGTCCTCATTCCGGATCAGAGTATATTAAAGTATGTTGAATTGGCGATCATCGGCAGCACAACTCCCTACACTTCTGCAGTACACTACGTACCTTTCGCCGACCCAACGCAGCAGCACCTGCAGCTCATAAATACACACAACCAACAAAACACGACAAAAACTCGAAAGCCGTCTCGTCTTCGCTCTGTAAAGAGTTCCCCAAAGTCGTATTGGTTGAGTGAATCCTCACCAATAGAGTCGGCAGTCGTTGCCTCCCACCGGCTCGTCAGGTTGATCATCACCCGTTACATCTCTGAGGTATATCTGCAACACCCTATCACTGGTCAGCACTTAGTTCTCTGGAATGTCCAGCTCACCTTCAGTAATGAGACGTTGGATCTCCGTCGGGGCTTCGCCATTGACCGTGCACCCAAGTGAGGCAGCCGTGCCAAGGATCTCCTTGACCGTACCAGCAAGCTTGCGAGCCATAGAACGCTCGCGCATGACGCGGGCCACACCGATGACTTGGTCCAGAGACAGGTTGCCATCGTGTTTAATGTTCTTGACTTTCTTGCGGTCACGAGGGGGCTCCTTGAGCTCCTTAACCAGCAGTGACGAGGCACTGGGGATCAACGTAACGGTGGCCTGACGGTTGACGATAGTGAGCTTTACCGTCACGTTCAGTCCTTTCCAGTCCTTGGTGGCCTTGCAGATGTCCTCACCAATCTTTTTAGGAGACAGACCAAGGGGACCGACCTTGGGAGCCAGAGCCGAAGCGGGGGCAACCTCGCCGCCCACCGTACGCAGAACGACGATCTTTTCTTCGCCAGCTGGAGGTGGAGCGCCCATGATGTTTATAGAGGATGCGAATAGAGAAGAAAAAAGCTTTGAGAGACTAAGAGTGGACTCGAATGGCCGGCGACGTGTGGTGGTTGACGAACGTAGCTCCTTGTCCAACCAATCGTTGTAAGTACGAAAACATGTAACAGAATACCCTTAGTCCCCTCCAAATTTATGAAACTCTGATTGGTCAGAATGCTAGATTGGAACATCTCGATTTTTATGAATTTTGGACTACTAACCTACTATTTCTACATCTGTAGTTGCTGCTGTTGCTCGGTCCATGAATATACATAGAATACATAAAACAAATGACAAGGTATAAGGTTTCACAGTTTCTTAAGTAGCATGTACCACTAATTACACTCATTCTCAGAAGGCAATCAATATGGCAGAAGCCGACGCCTTCATCTTCGCAGCGCTAAAACAGAGCAAATGGTGCGTTTTATCGGCGTGTTTCGACGCTCTATATTCTCTCATGCTCTCATGCTTTCCTTCTTCTTGTCGTGCTAGTTTTTTCATGACGTTCTTCGTCTTATTGCGTGCAAAATTAGGCTGGAAGATTCTTCTGATTCCGAATCTTGGACAGTATCAGATCTTTCGTCCGACGCGTTTATCTTCCTCGTCCTCAAGTTCCTAACACGTTTACAAGACGCAGATAGTAGTAAAGCCTTTACTCTTTCTTCTCTAGACGCCACGGCTCCTGTGGGCGTCGCGGCAAAGCATCGCGTGGGCTCCAAGCTCGCCAATATTCTCAAGGTATTAGAGACTTATGTTTTTATATGGCACATAATTGATTTTTGAAATTATTATACTAATCCCTATTGTTATTTTCAAGGAACTGGGTTATGCTGGGGACTGTGGATACAATCACTTTTTGTATCCAAGCGAGAAGGAGACGAGAAACATTCTATCATGGCTGGTGGGAAAGCTTCCGAGGTCCGAGATGGAAGAAAATGAAGATGAAGACCGTAAAAATGATGTTATAAATAAAATAGGAGACGAAGTGGATGCTATAGGTTGGCAAGACTCGGTACTAGCCAGCGAGAATTTGGGCAGTATTTTCTCGAGCTGGAAGCGAGAAAAGACACTGCATGTCCTGCCAAACCAAAAAGTTAAAGGACTGAAAGGGTTTCAGCGATTACCTCTGCAGACGTCTCCACTTGAATTGCCGTGGAGTAGAACGGAAAACGCAACACACGAGTTGTTTGAAGAGTTTCCGAGTGGTTCTGTAAAGCTTACGTCGCTTTTGGAGGCTCTAGCGGTAGCAAAACGCGGCCCCTCTATACTGCTTCAGGAGGATGGCTTATTTGGCGAGGAGAAAGAGATGGAAAAAGTGAACATTGAACCGGGTGAGGGGCAAGTTTATAGTGTGCGAAAGGGGGCTGAGAGTGCCAGAGACATTGCCTCTTCTTTTTGGCAAGAAGCAGAGAACGAAGATGATGAGTTTGCTGCTATCCAACCGCAATCGTTCCTAGCGACTGCGCTCCCAACGCTCCTAGACGTGCCAGTTTCGCTCGATTTTTCATCATCGGAATCTACAGGTTTGTTTGTTGAAAAAGGCTCATCGATGGAATCGACAGGGTCAAGCAGCATCCACACTAGTAAAAGAGAACAGAAGAGCGCTACGGATCAAGAAGAAGAAATAAAGGAGCAGTCTCTCGAAGTATTGCAAAAGCAAGTAGATGATACACAGTGCCGCATTGCTGAGATGCGAACTGTGCTAGATCTTGAACGTGGTGCGCTGCACCAGGTCGAGCAGCACATTATTGATACGCAAAACATGGGGCAGCTAATGCAGAAACAACTCGCTAAACAAAAGCAGTTGGTGGCAATGCTTCCTCAGGCTAAAGCAAACATTCTAAAGCTGGAGGAAACGTGCAAAGCAAGCGCAGAAAAGAAGCATGAAATAGCACGGCAGACGGAAGTTGCACGGAAGTCTTTGCTCAAGGAGTACGCTGAGCTAAAAGGCCAGAAATCGAGCCGAAAGGCCCGGTGCCGACAACTCATCCGTGGGATCAAGGCCTTTCGAACGGAAATGCAGGAAATCACCGGTATAATTCACGCGAAGATGGAAAGTGTGCAAGCACTGGAAAATATTCTAGAACGACGTATGGACAAGCTTGGCAAGCAGAAAGACTTTAAAGGTGGACCCATGACTCGCAATATGTACACGTCACGAATCATGGATATTACCAAGCAGGTTCACAAGCAAAAGCAGGATATCGCTAAAATTCTGGAAGACATTAAGAAGCTTCAAAAGCAGTTGAATGCTGCGTCGGAGAAGCTCAAGCGGACTGAAGCAGTGGCTGAAGAGAAGTTGTATAGTGCAGCCAGCAACAGTAAAAATTCCGGTAGCACAAGAGCAGAGGCTTATATCGAGTGCTACCGCAAGTTTGCACACTTGCGCGAAATATTCGAAGAGCTCATTGTGATTATTGGAGATGTTGGAAAGAAAGAGAACGCAGCTCGCGATCTGCATAATTGGATCTCTCAGCTGGAGGCACGGGAGAGCAGCAATCACTTGGACAAGGTGTTTGCGGATCTTGACAGTGTGCGTAAAGAAAACAGCATTCTGCAAAAGGAGTCACGCGCTCGTGTCGAATAAAGATATCGTTTGAGCAAAGTAAATGGAAGATTTTCTTAGAAAAGCGACACTTTCACGGTTTCATGTTTCAGTGCAACTACTCTAACTCAACTATTGTGTGGAGTTTGGATGTGCCGAAAGTTCGGTTGCCTGCAAGAATGAATCGTATGATTATTTACATACTAAAGAGCCAACGCGTATGCAAGCGGCAACATGATTGACAGCAATCTGGAAAGGTACGGTATGGCTGAAGTTCAAACATTACAGCAAAGATCAAGAGCCGCTCTGGAAAATATCCATCGCGGTATAAGACAGATACGTCACTACTGAGTTAATCATGATGTCAGACAAGCCTCTTACCTAGTGTTTGAACCGAGCTACGCGCGTTGTTCAGGTGTCAGCTCCAGCAGCTCAAAGTGCTACTTTGCTCGTATGCTTTAGACAGAAGAGTAGCGTTTGGCGTAGTAGCTTACCAAGATCATGAAAGAATTGCGCTACACGGAAATCAGCATAATTGAGACCTCGCACCGTTCAAAGTGCAACAATGACGCACCTCATTACTGCGACGCCACGTTCACGGATGTCATAGCTGGAGGCGCGTGCGTGGCATTTGGCGTCGTATAACGTCATGCAGATCGTCAACAGCTTGCAGCACCTCACCTCTTCTCGCAAAAGAACGCACGCAGACGTCACAACTAAGACCAAAGCAAGTGGCCGATTCTTCCCACGGACGTTTGACCTAAGTCACCGCAACCATTATCTACAGCCAGGTGGTTTGTTGTGGTAGTTTACTTCGAAATCTGGAGGAGATAGGACATTAGGGGGGGCTGGTATGTGGCAGCGATTGATATGAAGCTCCGAAATGAAATTTGGACTGCAAGAATGAGGGTTATGCAGCTGGTAGTGCTGACAGAAATGTGTGGATCTGTAAATTGTCGAATCTGTCTCAATTGGACGGGTGATTGTGTGTGGAACTTGTTTTAAAGGCTACGCGTCTGATAGTGAGCAAGCTGGCTAAAAAATGATGAAGAAAGGAAAAGAAGCAAGGCTTCACGGTGACTAAGTGGATTTTTGCAACGTATACTGAGTACCCACGCTTTCCGAGGACGACTGGGCTCAAACACGCCTAAGTTGTCACATCGACGGTTAGAATCTGTAATCACTGATCCGTCAGATCCACATCGACTATCACTTGCTTGGGGAATCGGTATGTGCTAAGGGTGCAAGCTTTAAAGTCGCGTGAGCTCAATATACATAAACGTTGCTTCTGTAGAACCATGACATTTCTTGAGGCTCGGCTACCAGAACCTACTGCAAATATAAAACTTGCGGCCATTTTGCAGCAGTCAAAGTGAGCCTGAGGGGAGACTTTTTCCAGTAAGCCTGCTGGGTCGGTATTGCTGGTATCGTCTCTCTGCTTTCACAGATTGGAACACAGTAGAGTATATGATCGGAAATGATTTTGTCTCAGACAATGAACGAAGGTTTGCCAAAATACAAGTTGTTGCATGAGTGGGCAAGTAATTTAGCCGAGACTTGTGACAATTCATGAGAGATTTCGAGCGGCTTGGCTTTGATTGCCTTGTAGACGAATCCACCACCATTTTGACAGTTGAACTGGCGCATAATCTTTTGTCTATTGACTAGTCCATGGAACACGACTTTTTCATCAGCCATACCTTTATGATTTGACATATCCAATGGCGATATTATACTGAGCAAATTGTATTTGAAACTTACCCATTCACAGCACGCCTGGATCTAAAAAAGGATGCACACAAACCAGACACGCGATCGTTGCCGTTTAGAAATGAATCTTATCGAAAAAAAATACGGCACGATGCTCTTCATTCGCCCCTAAACCTTCCATCGCAAGCCGCCTGCATATCAACAGCACCGTCTTGGAAGTTGAAGATGTCAAAGCTTGTAGCTACAGATTCACTAGCACTGTCGTTGCCGCTGTCGAGCAAGAATCAAAACACAGCAAAACAACGCAGTAGTATCGATTTTGAACACCCACCAGAATACCAAAGCAAAGTCAAGCGTACCTCGTACTCGGCGAAGTAAAACGGGCTTTTTGTTGTTCACGCAGTGCACAGAGTCGTTTTAGATGTGCATGCATCAAGGATGTCAGGTATTGGACCTGCATGGATGCCACCACCGCCTCCATAGACGCCCCGTCCTGTCTGAATTATGAGCGTGATTAAAGCTTTACAAGAGTAATAATAAATAAAGCAGTTAAGGTATCGTGCTGGTGGTACCTCTTGAATTCCGCAGCAACCTGTTTCACCAGACCCACCAACGACTCGTGCTGTCCGTCACTATACGAACAGTCGCTGTTCATTGTGCGAAGCTCAGCTTCGACGTTCTTCAGTTCCTGTAGTGCTGACTCTGTGGATTTCTTGAGCATCGCAGCCGAACATTTCAGCTCCTTACACTGGCGACGCTCTTCTTCAAGTTGCCGCAGCAGCTCGTTTTTCTCCGTCATGAGTTGTTCCTGCGACTCCTTCCACTGATTTCGGTCTGCTACTTCTGTCATCAATGTTGTCGATGCCAACTTCTGCTCAACTTTTGCAATGCGACTGACAAGCTGTTCTTGGTGCGTTTGAGCTTGTGCAAGTCGTATTTCTAGCTCCGCTGTCTCACTGAAACCCTCTTCTTCAAATTGACAAAATTTAAGGTTCATGACTTCAAGTTCCTGTCTAATGCTAGTCGACTCGGTAAGTAGTTGAGCGTTCTCCGCCTCAATATTCTCTCTGTCGCACTCTAGAACCTGTAGTCGCTTGTCTGCTGATCGCTGACACAAGGCAATGGCGTTCTCCAGGTTATCCTTGTCCGAACGCAAATCCTTCACTTGGGTCTGCAACGTTGCGACAAGTTCCTGATGCATGTTCACCATTGCCTTCCAATGTTCAATGTCTTCGTTCGCTTTGTTCTTTGTCACTTCCAGCTCCTGTATGACCTGTACCTCACTATGCTCCATCTCGTGTCTCTTATTCTTTAACGCTTGCAACTCCACACTCAGCATCTCTGCAGTGTCTCTCAACACCGCCAGCTCTTGTTCCAGCTCGCTCACTCTACGTGAGCTTTGCTGTTCTGCGTTTGTCATCTGCTTTAGCTCGGACCGTAGCTGTTCTTCCGTGATAGACTGAGCGCCTTCATCGTCACTGTCTCGGAGCACGTGACGAAGCATTTGGTCAGCTTCTGCTTCTCGTTGTGCCTTTTCCGCTCGTGTCGCCACCTGTCGCGCCACCTGAACATCCCTTATCAGCATCTCAATGGTCTGTTCTGCTTCGATCAGATCAGCATCTTGGTCTTGCAGCTCTCTGCGTAGCTGAGCAACCTTACGCTCTTGCTCCTCGTCCCTCAATTTATTCGAACGCTGCATCTGCTCTACCAGCTCGTCAATGCGGTGTTTCTGGTCGATAGTTTCTTGCTTTAAGCAATGGATCTCTGCATCTTGCTCCTTTATCCTCTTGACGTCAGCATGAGAGCGTTGGTACGAGAGCGACATGCTACTCTCGCTTCTCCATTCACGATGAAGATACTGCGTGCGGAATTGAAGTTGAAGTGACAATCACTCTTGTCCGCATTTTCGGCCGATCAATGTCACTATTTCTCTGTCACTCAAACACGAGCCCAATGCGATGGAGAATGGCGCCGACTTGGTGGAGTTGCTGCTCTTCACATGGACCCAAAGTGCGTATTCCATGTCCAGAAATAATGTAACCAGGCGACGCTACTTCTCAAACACACCAGGAATATCTGATGTCTACCTTGTAACCAACACCAATCGTGAGAAGGGTCTGGCATTCGAGGAGCACGTTGTGACGCTCATGCAGTCACTCAACTGTGAACTACAGGCGACACAGCAGTCACGAGATGGTGGAATTGATCATCAGGCTGGAATTACACTTGGAATGCGTGTTGCAATAAGCTGTAAAAGCTAATGATGTTGCTGATCCTTTGTAGGGATCATGGACGTTGCCAGATTTAGAAGTTGAGGTGGTGACACAGTGCAAGAACGAGAGAAAACCAGTGGGTGTTCACTATGTGCGAGAATTCTATGGCGTGATGGGCTTCTTTCCACCTACAACTGTGGGGCTATTTGCCTCGGCATCAGGCTACAGTCTCTTATGCGCAGCGGTTCTTCTTACGGACGACACATCCGGCAATTCTTTGCACCGTAGATATCGTATCAGGTCGTCTCACTTCCTTTTTACTAAACGACAGTTGCCAAACGCTGCTGCCCAAGCTTACAGTAGGCTCCTTGTTCGTGAACCAGGAGCATGCTCTCGTGCTCACCTACGGTGACAAGATCCTCGGCTAAAGTTTGTCGCACTGCAATGCATCACTACTGTATTTCCACGTCCAACTAGATGCCACGAACAAGAAAAGAGAGCGCAAACGTCCACAGCTCAACAACATTGCGTCGTCAAGGTCATATTGCCAACTCTTCCGGATACGGCTCGACGGACCACACGTTGCTGGCCGTGGCCTTGACTTTTTGCTATGTCTTGGGTAAAGCGTCACGGATACCACGCTGGGGTGAAAGCCAGGGTTAAGCTATGCTGCGAGTTCTGTCCTCGGTCGAACAGAGATTGACGTCCAGGATCGGCCTCATGGTCCGTTCGTTTTGATACTAGATCGGGCCAGCAAATGGGCACAAGTATTTTGGCAAAAGGTAAGAGCAAGTGAGCATGTGTTTCGTGTGTACGTCACCGACTCATTGTGCTTTGCACGTGCAGGCCTGAATGAGCTCGACGTTGGTAGATCCATCGTCTTGGCGTCTCAAGCGTGAAACAGTAAGGTCGGCTTGATATGAAGTGGATAGATGCGTTTTAGCCTGCATTCGAATAATCGAGGTCGTATTATCCATCCATTTATTGTTAGTTAAGGCAGCAACGACGTAGCGGCGCTACGGTAGCGCAGAACTTCAAAGTATTCAGGTGCGTCAGACGTCTTTGTCCCACTCGGCCTAGACCGGTCGCTCCGCGACTCGTTTGAGCTCCTCCGTACACAGCATGCAGTGCACAGATCCTGTCAAAAAGCTTTTGCTGGTCATTTCTTGTATTTTGCTGTTGCAGTCATGCGGTGTGTTTCTCGGAGACGAAGGAAATTCTGCTGAGGTTTTGTTGACCTTTATCGCATTCGATCCGATCGTAGCGGTGATGCTGGAATGAAGCAATCATTTGGCCTTTCCGCCTATAAGTCGCCGAAGCACTGCCCAGCAACTTGATCGTGACGCATTTAATGGACAAGAAATGACCATTGAAGAAACCAAGACATCGACATAAAGAAGATGAAAAAGAGAAAGAGAGAGCTCAAAGAACGTGTAGTATAGACATTTTATGTTGTAACTAGGCAACGATAAGCGTCTGCAGACACTTGACGACATCGCCAGCGGCTTCGCGCAGTTTGCGGTCCGCCTGCTGCGTCGAGATTTCCATCTCCTGTGCGACAAGTGCTACGTCATCTTTGCTCACCTTTACAGCCGCTAGCTTCTTCTCCAGCAGTCGTTCCGCTTCCTTGTCAGCCTCTTCTTGCTTGCGCAATGCCTGAAACGCCTTCTTCATCTTGTTCTCGTCCATCTGCTTTTCTTCTACGAGGTCCGTAAGCTTCTCCATGGCGCTACTCTCATCTTTGTCGCTCTTCACCTGCTGCGGCTTTAGCTCCTCGTCGTCTGATCCCGCATACACGTTGACCTCCGCGTCTGCCACCGTCTGCTTCGTCTTGTCTGTGCTCATTTTCCTATCAATGACCTGCCCACACGTATCTGCTAACTCCTTTATGAATGATAATGAATAAAAAAAGCGTTATTTTACCAAATAATGTCGTTTAATTCTATAAAGCTTACTAAAAATACAATTGTAAGAACGAAATTTATTAAAAGATCGAAATATAAAAGTAGGGGTAGAAAAGTATATTTGCACCCCCCCTATCCAAACAATAACGAAAGCTGTTCTGCGCCATCGTTTGTGTGAGGGGGAGTGCGTTTCCTGTGGATATCGATGTGACTCAGACTGTGGGGGACCTAAAAAAGGTCATTGAGGCGGAGAATGAAGATCTTCAAGGTCCTGCGCGTAACCTGCGGCTCTTCCTGGCAAAGGGAACGGACGACAAGTGGTTAAAAGACGACGATGCTGCTAAACTTATATTCGGCTAGATATATGTAAATAGTCGATAGAGTTGATGCCCCATAAAGCGCCTGACCCTGTCTACTTCTTAGATGAATGTCCAGACAGGTTGTTGGCGTGATTATGATTGTACTAGTCTATGCATTTAATATCATCCATGCTCTGCGCCATTCAAATTGATCCATGGCGGGAACCCTGAAGGGACAGTCTGACTTTCGAGAGCCTGTTTTCCTCTGGCGTGTCTCCTTGTTCAGGATGAGGTACTTTCGATCTCTCCACTCATGTTGCACCCTACGGTGTTTGATGTCAAACAGGATAATGCTTGCGGCAAATCCTGTTAGAAGATGCTGGTTTTGACAGGTGTGGTGGAGTGGGATTCGCAAAATTGTGGATGCGCTGATGCAATTCCGACTCTTCACTGGCGCCCGGACGAACAGACTAACGGAGGGGGTACCCCGTTTCCGTGTGCAAAGCCTGCCTCAACTTGTGTACCCGTCGGTTGGGCGGGTTGCACTCTTCTAGGTGGACTTGAGTCGATCTTGATCCTAATTGGGTTAGGGATAGGGGTTTTGGTGATCTTGTGGAAATCTTGACAAGATCGACCGAGTACTGTGATCGTACCAATAGATCCCTATAGTCCAAGACGGCGAAGCTTGAATCTTCTGACCACTTGAGCAGAACCTTCTGACCACTTGAGCAGAACCTTCTGACCACTTGAGCAGAACCTTCTGACCACTTGATCCGTCATGCACTTGCTTGCCTTGCCCTTACTAATCATTTCTGCGTCCGATCGCAGCTGATTTGTTGTGTTGAGAATTCCTTCACCTGGCCTAAACGATCCAGGGTGCACTTGTAGTCAATATTCTCGGCGTTGGGAGGCCAAATATCCTGCCCGGAATAGAGAAGTCGACACGTGTATTTAGAAGCACATTGAACTCTGTTTAGTGTTGACCAATCAAATATCGAAACCTACGATTCTACCTATCTGTAGTTTAGGATCGATTACCACGTGTCGTCTCTTCAGAAAATTTAAATCTCGATATGTGGTCCACTCCAGATATCTTCACCATCCCCATCCAATCGTGATCTTGCCTTATTCTTGGATCGCGACCTGAATCAGATCGCGTATCAGTTCAGGATCGCGATCGATCCATAATGCGTGACTCTTGGGAATTGAATCGCGATCTACTACGAATTGTTGTTGAAGGTGCGCCACGGCCAGAAATCGCTGCACTCAATGAACGGTCTGGATAGTCAGGTGTGCGGCTATCTTATGAGTAATGTATAGAGTAGATTACTCATGAGTGACTATCTAATGAGTCATGTGTATAGAGTAGATTACGCATGCGCGACTATACGATTAGTAATGCGCGATATAGCGATTACGAACGTGTAGTGGAAGAATCCAGTAGGCTTAGAGTAGCAACAAAGTTTGTGAACTAAGGACCTAAATATATTCAGTTTGCATTTTTCACCAGCTTTGACCAACTCCTTTAGGTTATGAGCCCAAGCCCTGCAGACTCTGCCCAAGAACTCGACCACACTTTCTCCATGGACGCCATGGACGCCATGCCAATCACCACCGCCCGCATCAACAAGTTCGCCGGAACAAACTTCCATACGTGGAAGTTTAAGATGCAGATGGTGCTGGAGGAGCGCGACCTGTGGGATGTCGTGAGTGGGGAGGTGAAGCTTGAGCAGTGCGTGTCAACATTGAACCAAGCAACGTTCAAGAAGAAGTCACGTAAGGCGCTGGCGATCATCTGTCTCGCGATAGAGGATTCGCAGTTGCCACTGGTGCGCTCGGCGGAGAATGCGTATGATGCATGGTCACGTCTGGAGGGACACTACGAGAAAAAGAGCTTGGCTAATAAGCTCTTTCTTCGTCGCCATTTCTTTACGACAATGATGGGGAAGGTGATTACGTGCTAGAGCACATCAACAAGCTCAAGACCCTGGCGGAGCAACTCGACGCGGTTGGTGCTCAGGTCAGCGAAGACGACTTGGTCATCACTCGTTTGGCCAGTCTCAGCGAGTCCTATCAGTTCCTGATAACGGCGCTGGAGTCAAGATCCGACTCGCTGACATGGGACTTAGTGGCGTCTCGGCTGATGCATGAAGACCTGAAGCGCAAGGAGCAAGGTGGCGGAGTCGATGGATCTGTGCATGGTCAAGCTCAAGCGTTCATGTCAAGAGACAACAAGCGAAACGGACGACCAGGTAAGAAGACTGGTGCGTGCCACAAGTGTGGAAAACAAGAACATTGGATCGCGAGGTGCCCCTCGCGGATCCAAGAAGACGCAGAACGACATCGATTTCAGCGTACGAACGTGGCGCAAGATGAAGATCTTGGCGACTATCTGTTTTCGGCTGGTGGTGAAGTCGCCAATTCGAGTAACGTGTGGCTGGTCGACTCGGGTGCGACGCAGCACATGACGAGTTCCAAGAAGTTCATGAAGAACTACAAGATCTTCAATCCGGTCGATGTGCACTTGGCAGACGATAGTCTCGCTCAAGTGATCGGCAAAGGCGACATCGTGATGACAATGAAGACGCCACGCGGTACCAAGAAAGGTGTGCTCACAGACGTGTGACATACTCCCATGTTATCAAGTAACCTGTTCTCCGTGGGTAGATTCACTAAGGATGTCGGGCCAGTCACCTTCGAAATCAACGGATGCTTAGCAGAGACGAAAGGTGTCAAGTGGAAGCTCGGTGCTCGCGAAGGCAAAGGGCTTTTCAAGCTCTGCATGACGCCAGAAGCGTATATGAGGCAAACGTGTCAAGTTCTGATGATTTTTAAAGGGGTACCGGGTCGTGTGGTGGAGTGGGATTCGCAAAATTGCTGATGCGATCCCAACTCTCCACTGGCGCCCGGACGACCGACTAACGGAGGGGGTACCCCGATTCCGTGTGTATAGCCTTCCTCACCTTGTGTACCCGTCGGTAGAGCGGGTTGCTCTCTTCTCGGTAGACTTGAGTCGATGTTGAACTTGATTGTGTTAGGGATAGGTGGGGGGGGCGATCGCGTGGAATTCCTCACACGATCGCAGTTGTTCTTGGGGTGCTCTATTTGAGTCGCCCTGAGAACAACTACGATCGTGTGAGGAATTCCACGCGATCGCCCCCCCCACCTATCCCTAACACAATCAAGTTCAACATCGACTCAAGTCTACCGAGAAGAGAGCAACCCGCCCTACCGACGGGTACACAAGGTGAGGAAGGCTATACACACGGAATCGGGGTACCCCCTCCGTTAGTCGGTCGTCCGGGCGCCAGTGGAGAGTTGGGATCGCATCAGCAATTTTGCGAATCCCACTCCACCACAATGGTGCGCGTGCCCGGATCTTCTGGTGACTCGGGATTTCACCGTGAGTCCCTTAGAGAAGATGTAAAGGTCAAGACTGAACCTGGGATTGAAGCGTCAGCGGCAAAGGGATCACCGCAGACGTGTGAAGAAAAAAGATCCCCGGATCATCAGCGTTTTGGGAGGGGCGCAGATGAAAAGAAAACCAAGGAGGAAGATCAAGAGATTGATCTGGAAGAAAAACCTCTACCCCCTTCCCAGGTCCTTTCGAGGACCCCTGCGGATCGCGTTGCAAAACGCGATCCGCTGGATAAAAATCCTACGGTTAAAACCGAAGGAAATTTATCCAAAACCACTCCGAATTCGAAGAAGAAGAAGAAGAATTCGAAGCCATCTCGAGTGAAGATGAAGGCGCCTGAGTCGGATCATGATGATATCGACGTGAAGCCAGCGCATGAGGAAGACAAGGCGAAAGGATGGCAACTGGATCAGCTGGAATGGTGTTTTCATTGGAAGGCGCTTAAAGATCTGTTGTCAAGCGATCCCGTTCTAAAGATTTTGAAACCGAAGTTGATTGGATCGCTACGAGGACCAATTTCAGCTCCCATTCCGACACCGAACCAGTTGGAAGCGATCCGTCGGCTTATGGAGTTGCTCCAGAACGCTGGATTCATCGCTGGAGCTTTTGACGCGCAGGTGCTGTTGGAATGCGATCATGATCGGGTGATCCAAGCAGGGCGATCTCTGTTTTCGAAGCTAGTTCCTCTAATTGGAGAGCGCGATCCGGTGGATCAGACGATCCAGCCGATTGCAGATATACCAAAAGGATATCATACGGGATCTTCGCAATATATGTCAGCGGAATCCGAAGGGGAGTCGGACGACTCGATTAATATGCAGCGAATGTCACTTGGACCGGCTGGTGCAGCGCATATTCGCGAGCGACTGGCACCGATTAAGGCCAGAGAACAATCGACGACGGCACTCACAGCTGAAGACATGAACGTGAATGGATCAGGTCAATTGCAATCTTATTTTGAAGCTGCCATGAGAAAGTACGAGCAGGATCAAGCTCGCATGATCGCCAGTCGATCCGCGATCCCTACAAACACCCCGAAAGTTTGCATTTCGGATGTGGATATGGAATCGGCCGGATCGCGTCAATCGCGATCCAATAATTACGATCCAGACGATTTGGGTCTGGAGGATCTAAGACGGCCACAAGTCGCAAGTGCAGGCGCTGTACCTAATGGTGGACTTGTCACGCAGCGGATTCGAATGTCTGCGATCGCAGATCTGAAAG